TCCATGAACTGCTGAGAGAAGACAAACCTTGCTTGGTGAGACTCTTCACTTCTTACCTTATCTGTGTTTTCTTGCTATAACCAAATTTTAAAATCTTAAAAAAAAAAAAAAGAAAAGAAAAAAAGAAAAAGAGATATGGCCTTTTTCAGTTGTTCTCCCTTACTAGGACAGATCTTACCATAGAGATTCTGCTCTGACATAAAGCATTCTCAGCCCGACATTTTCTTGTTCACTATGAACAAGCACTTGGATATTGCACCACAGCTTAACATAGAGAAATACTGAAAGGGACTTCAGCTTTCCATAGAGAGAAATGCTATCATCTTCATACTGTGTAACCAAACAGTCTGCTTGGTGCAGCAATGGGGGATTCCAACTCCTGCTTTGACAACTATCATGGAACCCCATTGTAATATCTAAAGACTTTGCAACCAAATGGTTGTTTCTGATTGCTTTGCTTATTTGGATTTGGGATTTTGAAACATCAAGCATGTTTTACTGTTCAATCTGACGAGCAGAGATCTTCTACTTATCACCTTCTTCTCAAGCAAAAGCAGTTTGTACAGTTTTAAGGATTTCTCATTAAAGAATCAGCATGATCAAAGTATGCAGAGTAATTAATTGATGTGTTAAGAAAAGTGAACTAATAAGAGCGTATTGCAGAGATCTGAAGAAATTTTAAAATATATGTCCAGTCAGCCGTCCAAAGCTTCTGGAAACATGGGGGGAGAGCTACTGCAGCCATTGAAAAGAGTATGGGAATTGGTAAGCAGAGGCAGGGGTTTGTTTCTTTTTCCCTTCAGCTGTTACAGAAACAGGAATCTGAATGGGTGGAAAACCTACTGTCATCAACACGGTGCTTCCTCTGCTGATGGAGAGCAGCCATATTCAGGTCTTGGTCCTGACTTGCTGGGAATGTGTGTTGGACACCACAGATAAAAGGATTTATCACGAAGGAACACTACAGTGTGAGCAGCTGGAGTGGATAGCTTAATTCACAGAACATGGAGGCTTCATCAACAACATGAATTTAGGAATCTTTGGAGAGACTAATTTGGCTGAACTGAGGACTAGACTTTAGGATGCAGAGGAACCTGCAATGTCCGAAGGAGGAAACTGGTTGTTCCTTGCAACAGATTGTTCTCCCGCATTCAAGTCCTATCCCCATTAAGCTGAAGAATCCTTGAGTCACCCAAAAACTAAAGAAAAGAAAAATCCCAAACATCTGAGAAAGAAGAGGACGCAGACTGTCCTTGGGTCTAGAAGGCTTATACGTGTTTGTATAAGTGCATATACATGTTTGACTGAGAAGTGAAAGATGTGGCTGTTGATGATTAGAGAAGGCCTTTGAGACATACAAAACCAGTTTAGTCAACAATTAAGAGAGATTGCATGCCTGGAAAAAAGATCCACTCCCACAGGTTGATGAGGTTTGTCTTTGTATTTGACTCCTCCCTACCTTGTGTTGGTTACTCATGGGAATATTAACAAGGTCAGATATGTGACATGCCATAGGCAAACTGAAACAAATTACATGTACTGAGAAGTACTCAGCTTTTTGTTTGTTTTTTTTTTCTACTATGTAAATATGTTGCTACACTGACAATACCAATAATGTTAATAACTTCCTTCTATTTCAAGCAATCCCCATCAGATCCTCCAGTTACAGTACTGGGGGTTTTTAAGTCTTTAAAAGGTTGTCCTCTGACCTACAATGCATTCTGCAGAGCTGATAAAGAAAAGGCTGTATGCTGCTCATATTACAAACACTTCCAAGCAGTTGAGTAATTGCATATTATATATGTATGAAAAAACAAGGTGGTCACTATGGTGTTTTGAACTCTAACTGCATTTTTTTCAGAGGAAGAGAGTTCTACATTCTCAGAAAGACTTGCTATTTGCACTATGGTCTCTGCTCTCTAAGTGCTTCATAAAACGATTGCCTCAACCCACCAGTAATGGATTATAGATTAAGCAGAAACGAAAGGGCACAGGATTGTTCTTTCATGTTGTCTCCCAATTTATTTTGCTTAAGCAATAGATAATAATTGACAGAAGCAATTGAAGAGTCACAGTTTGATTTGCCTTTTTTAACTAGGAGGCTGCACTAGGTTGTCTTTATGTTATTTTTTGTTAGGGGAGGCGGTTCTGTGATCATTTGGGGTTTGGAGTAGAGTCATTATGTTCTTACTGACATTCCAGTGGACAATTGCAAGCTGGTCCCACTGCAGTTCTCTGTAGTCCTGCTCTTGGACTGGATTTCAATAGGCAGCACTTCTGAGGTGGGGTAAAGTGACTTTAAACCTCAGAGTTTTAAATTTGATGTGCTGTTTGATTTTATTTTTTTTATATTTTTTTTACCTTTAGCATTCATATGACAAAATGGGAAAAATATCTTTTGTCAGTGTGACCTATCTTGGGAACATTTAAAAAGCTCCAAATCCATGCATAAAACATCTGAGAAGTTTTCCATTAAAGCAGGGAAGAAGGCTCTTAATGTTGCTAATATTTATTATCAGCAGGGGAACGGGAAAAAAAGCGCCTTTGAAAAATTCAATTCAGCATTTCTTAAGCCTCCCTCATGCATATTATAGATTTTTCTTTCCTTAAAGTATGAATGAAGTAGGGAATTAATGAAGTCAGTGAAAATGTTCGATGTTGGAGGCTCTTCAAATTTCAGAGGAAGAAAGCCAGGCTGTGTTTATGTTGGTACTCTTAGTGCTCGTGAAAAAGAATCAGTAATTGCGGCACTAGGAATAACTGCTTCTGCTTGTCCCCTTCTTGAGCTTTGCTAGTCTTGCTATTATCTCTCTATTCCTATGCATCCTTATGTTTTTATTCCATGGTTCTTCACTCCCTCGTGAAGTATTTCTCAGCCCTTTACAGTGGTAAAATTGGAAGGAACATAGGATTCAAAAGGAATTTTTTGGGTCATGTGTTGGTGGATGAGAAACTCAACATGACCTGGCAATCATTTGCATCCGAGAAGGCCAACAGCTTCCTGGACAGCACCAAAAGGATTGTGGCTAGCAGGGAAGAGAGATGGTTCTCCCCCTCTACTTCGTCCTTGTGAGACCCCACCTGGAGTACTGTGTCCAGCTCTGAGGTCCTCGGCACAGGAAAGATGTGGTCCTGTTGGAGTGGGTCCAGAAAAAGGCCATGAAGATGATCAGAGGGCTGGAGCACTTCTCCTGTGAAGGCAGGCTGAGAGAGATGAAGTTGTTCATCCTGCGGAAGAGAAGGGTCTAGGGAGACCTTACAGCAGCCTTTCAGTACTTAAATGGGGCTACTTAAAGAGAGCTGGAGAGGGACTTTTTACAAAGGCTAGTAGTGGTAGGACAAGGGGAAATTGGCTTTAAACTGAAAGAGGGTTGATTCAGAGATTTTAGTAAAGTTGTGGATGTCCCATCCCTGAAAGTGTTCAAGGCCAGGTTGGATGGAACTTCAGGCAACCTGGTCCAGTGAAAGGTGCCCCTGCCCATGGCAGGAGGGTTGAAACTGGATGATTTTCAAGGTCCCTTCCAACCCAGGCCATTCTAGGATTCTATGATAATTTGATCTAACTTCTTCCCTTAAACTTTGATTTAACTTCTTCCCAATTAAAATGTATTTCAATTCAGCAGGTGTAGCAGGTGTTGTTTCATTCTCTGTTTAGGTGGTTGAAGATATCTTCAACAGCTGCTGCAACAGGAAGTCTTCTCAATATTTGTCTCCCTTGGGATAACTCTGGCAGGATCTAAACTACATGAAACCAGTTCCCTGCCTTTGAATACAGGTGGAGAACTGCTAAACACAAAATTGTGGTTAGTAGAGCATCAGACCAATTTGGTTCATAATATAAAAATTCTAAAACATTTATTTAATATTAAATATTATTTAAATAACATTTAAATATTTAATATTTAAATAAAACTTTGTTTTGTATAGTGTAAAATGTTCACAGAAGAGTTACAACGAATGTTAAAATTCTTTGCTATATAGCTGAGTGTAACTCTCACAAATGTCTATTAATTTAAAATTGATTGTTTTGTTCAGAAATCAAAGATCCAGGACATGTTGAAAACTGAGAATATGAGACAGTACAGTATAAAATAATTTGAAAGCGAGCGAATATATTGAGAGCATTTATCTTACCAATTTTTTTTCATTAAAAATGTTAACAGAAGCTACTACAGGACTTAGAGAATTTTTGTAGGAGTACAGTAGAGTACAGGGTGTTGAATCTAGGTTAAATTTCATTCTGTCTCCAAGGAGTATTTACTGTAGCATAAAGTAAAACATTCTCAATTTCATTTACCTATTTTCATTCCTTCATAATCCCTTCAAAGAGGATAAAAATTTGTATCTGGTATTTCAAACACAAACCCAAAGCATTTTAGAATGCTTTATAGTAATGTCACCCACCCCCAACCAAATAAGTTCCATATACATTTGGTAAACTCTTGCTCTGCCTACATCAACAGTATGGCTCCAGCTCAATTCAGCAGAGTCAGAAATATGTCCAATTAATCTTTTTCTTTTAGACAATTTCATACATTTTCTTTAGCATGTTAAGGGTGAAAATTATTTAGAAGTATTAGACACAAATTTAAATGAAACATATTTTAAAAATGTTTACTTTATGCAAAACATTTGGCCTTGCTCAGCAGCAGATTTTTTTTTTTAATTTCTAGCTGTTTTTTTAATAAATACAGATTTCAACAAGTCTATTAGAGTGTACTGGAAATCTTACTTCTTAGAATTTAGGATTACATAATGATGTGACTGGGACTATTTTCTTGTGACAAAACATAGAACGTTTAGATTCTGCTTGAGTTACTCAATGTTTGTTACTATTTTGGCAGATTATTAAAATTAAACATGGATATTATTCGTTGCTTAAGTCACCTTTTAGGTATTACTTAGTGCATATTGAGTGCCTTTGTAATACAAGACAGACCTGTACTTGACTGTAAGCACACAATCAGCCACAGTGACTGCAACAAAAATTATCACGCAAATGAATTAGGAACATTCTTAAAATATCTTGATGAGTCATGGAGACAGTTTATTTTCCTATCAGTCTAAAAATATAACCTAGCTGGTTCTGATTACATCTGAGAATTTTAAGTGAGTACTTTCTTTACAATCTTTGCAATCAGGAAATTTAATATCAGGAAGGAATTAATGCCTCCTTTCAATGCATCAACTAATTTAAAAATCGTCTATGAATAAAACACCAACATGTGGCTAAACCTTTGAAAATATCAGTAAAATTATACATTTTTTAATCTTCTGAGCTGTGCTGAAGTAGGAGAATTTGTATAGATATTCAAACAGGGGTACATGGTATTGTAGTGTGTATGGCCTAGATTGCTACAGAATTTTTACTTATTTTGTTTTGTCTTTGAATATCTAAAACCAAGCTTAACCTCACAGATATGTTGTTTTCTCTCCACTCAAAATAGTTCAGCGTAGTAAAACTTAAAGCGTTAACCAAGGAAGAAGATTCCAGGATGCTCCTGTCACAGAAAAGTAATCTTCTTTATCCTAAAACACTTTTTTTCAACATGTGGAAGTTTTTAGCTAGATGCAGAAAAAAATTTCTTCTTTTTTAGCAGATCTCTGTGGGATTACTGTGGTTTCACAGCAGGAAGATGAAGTGACGTATGCATTATCTGTTCTCCGCTCAGCTGTTTTTCCTTCCTAGAAAAGAAATAGCAGATAGAACTCCTTAGGGAAAGAAACAACGTTATGGACAAGGTGGGTTAATACATTAACCCACTGATTACCAGAGGGTAATTTCATAGAGGGATACCAGTAGCAGAACGAAAACCAAACCCACCAAAGCAGTTTGTTGTGTTGCATGACCGACTTGCTCACTATCTGGCATTAACAATATTTCAATCTGCAGAAACTAGGAAAAAAAAATCAACGTCAATTATTCATGATATTTCTGAAAATTGAGGAAGAAAATTAGATTGTGTTATGGGTAATGAACCTGGTAAATAAAGCTGAGGAAATACAGTGCAACAAGTTAAGAGAACTGGGTGAATTTTAGCATTAATGGAAGGTTCATGGCCACGCGATGGCAGCAGAGGCTGAGGAGTTAGGGTTGTTTTTGACTATAAACTACGGATAAACCGGATATGCCCTGAAGTTCCTAACTGGTACTTCAGGTTCCAGAAAATTACGTTATGTACATTATGTACATTTTCATTTTAAAAGATGTGGCATGTTCATCAGACCTGAAGTTTCTGTGGAGAGGGGTTACATACTTTTCTTAAAAAAAAGCCCACAAAAATGAAAGAAAAATACATTTGGGGCAATTTTTTTTTTTACAGTAAAACTGTATTTTTCATCTCATTTGCCAATAATTCCATCTTTCTTCCTCACTTGTTGAGTTAGTTCCACCCAGAAGAGTGGGTGTATTTCGATAAAAACAAGGCAGTTGCTTACTTTTTCCTAATTTCTTTTCCTGATACTTTTGTCCACAGGAAAAAACTCCATTATAAAACCCCCTTTGGGGAAACCATAAAATTAAAATCTAGAATGCCTTCATTTTTCAAGGGGAGGACTAAAAAAACTTGCTTGTTGAACTGAGGAGGCAGAATTTTTGGACTCAGAGCAGTATAAATAATTAAGCTCTTTGTATTTTAAAAGGAAAACTACAATCTTCTCATTATATGTAAACTAGATGCTCTTTCTCAACTCCTAGGAAACTATTTATGTATGCCCTTCATATGAAAAATTATAAGAATTCAGGGTTTGTGCAAGATAGTAAACAAAACCTCAGAACACCACAAGTTAAAAATTACCTTTCCGAGAAGTTGAGATTTTTTTCTTCTGAAATGTATAAAAGCAGACCTTTCACATGGAATTCTCTACTGGAATAGGCACAGTTCCCTTTCTGCATTGCGTGTTCCAGATCCTACACTACAAGTTCGGGTTTAATCAAAAAAGACAGTCCAGAACTTCTACCAGAGTCTCTCTTCAATCCATGCAAATACTTATATTATGATTTTCTGCTGGAGCATGAAATTTTACAGAACTCAAAGGCAACCAGGTAGAGTTTAGGCAAGCAGCCTTCTGGAACAGCTTAGATGGATAGGATCATAGACTGGATGTCCTCCAAGGTCCTATTTCCTGTGACTCTATGAGGGTTGTCTTGAGGGCTGCCCTACCCTCTAGGAGGGTAGCAGCTGCTCTTACAAAAAGTCAATATGCTCTCCAACAATAACAAGATGTTTACAGGGATGTCATTAGGGTATGCACAGCACTGAATTCTGCACAAACCAGAGGTCTTCTCTCTTGGCCTCTCACTGGATTGCTCTAATATGGCAGGAAGTGGTGAGGAAGACCACAATCACCAGCTGGAGGATGGCATGACTCAGCAATATACATAATTTCGGGTAGCCAGAAGGGAACTCTGTTCAGTAGCTCATTTTGGGCATCCAGATTCCTGCACTGAATCATGTGAATGGGTCTTTGCAATTGCAGGCCAGTATGCCTAAAGCTCTCTGGACTTCCTTCCTCCCGCCTGGGATTCAGCTGCTCTGTCACGACTACCCGAGGTGTTCCAAGCGAGCCCTGCCTCACAGGGCAGGCAGCAGCACTGTTCAGGTAAATCAGGCCTCTGGCAGGTGAGCTTCAGTTGCTTCTGCTGCAGCAGCTTAAGGCATTACTGCTCTGCCAGTCTGCCCTGGTGGCCTCCTCATATAACAGGAACAGTGGGAGAAAACCACAGAGTCCTATTCCTCTACTGGTGCTAGGTTTGAGGAGGGTTATGAGCAAGCATGATTTCTAGACTGTAGACCCACAAAGCAAAGAAAGCAAAGAGAAAAAAACCCCCAATCTCCTAAATTTAGTAGTGAGGTTTTACATGGCATTTCCCCCCCACAATCTGAGGACTGAAAGATTAAATTACCTGGAGTATGAGCACATGGGTTCAGAAGGGAAAGTCCTGTTTAACCAGTCTGATACCCTTTTGTGATAAGGTCACATATCTAGTGAATGAAGGGAAGGTAATGGTTGCAGTTTTTCTGGATTTTAGTAAGGCTTTTGATATTGTCCTTTACAGCATCCTTCTGGACAAGTTATCCAATGGTGGGATGAGTAGGTTCACTACACAGTGGGCAAAGAACTGGCTGAAGGACAGAGCTCAAAGGGTTGTGGTGAGTGAGGCCACATCTTGCTGGTGGCTGGTCACCAGCGACGTCCCTCAGGGCTCAATTCTCCTCCTGTGCAATGAGGGGCAAATGCAAGTTTAGGAGATGTGATAAGCTCTCAGCACACGTTACGAGAAGAGAACAGTCCTAATGAGAGACCAGGGACTTGTTAGAGACAACTGAAAATCCACATCCATCTATTTTGTGTGCAACCAGCCAGCCAAGGAGCTAACCCTTTCTGCCTCACAAAAGGCCTTAAGCCAACAAGGGTTTTTCCAGCTGAAAAATTAATATGAGTTCTTTCCTAGAGGTGTTACTGTGACTAGTTTCCCAGTCTAAAGAAAATGCTGATTCGTATCTGAAAATGCTGTATTTGTTACTTTTCTTGTCACAACATGTTAATTGGATCCAACTTCCTATGGAATCTTCATCTTGTTTATACATTTGCTTGTTTATTTATCTCTAATTTTACTTCAGCTTCTTTTCAAAAAGCTCAAAGCTCTCTTTTTTCTTTTTGCTATCATGTTCTGATTCTTCTATTTCCATCCTTCTGTGAATCTCAAATAATCTTCAGGTGCTTACTCAGAATTAGATTCTGTTAGAATAAATTAGAATAATTGTTATTATTCTAGCACAAATGCTGATATATATTCTTGTGGCTGCTACCAGAAGAATATCATAAAGGACCACTAAATGCCCAACTTGACAAATAAATCTTTCCCCAAAGCTATATCCTTTTCCATTCTCTGTTGTCACTTTTTAAATCTCCATCTGAAACTGGTATTTATGGGTTATTTTGAAGGCTAATTCAAATAAAAGGTTTAAGAGCTAAATACCCTTTTTTCTTACTGGCTGGTTAAAAACCAAGCAGGTCCACAGAATATATAATATAATGTTTGATTCAAAGAGATAACATTGTAAAATATTTGAGATTCTGGAAAACCTAATCATGTAGCCAATGAGAATTTTGCAAGTTCCACAACTTTGTGGCCGTATAGGACTAGAAATGACAGGAGATTAGAGTGCAGAAATCAGTCATGTAATCATTGGCAAGTGAACATATCAGATCAGTCTATCCAGTCTTTATTTTCCACCATACAAATAAAATGGGACAAGCCTCTGTATTTTGAGCAACGGAGGACTCCCTGTTAGGGGAGCATTCACATTCAGTCCAAGAGATGCTGGGTTCCAGTTATTACGTATATTTTTGTTTGTCTAAGACACCTCTGAAATAATCCAGGCATCTTTAGAGATTTTGTTTTTTGCAAGTAAATCATCTGATAGAAAAAGCAGGTGAGTAGGAGGAGACGCAGGGGATTTTGTGATAGACAGAGCATGAGTTGTCAGTAGGATTATCAGGAGAGAAGAAGCTCCAGGATAGTATCTACCCACATGCATGGCTGCTGAACTGCAGCAGCAGCAGCAGACTCTCTTGTGGTCTGTAATTTAGGAGATATCCTTCTTGGAAAAATAAATGTAACTCTTCTGATTCTCTCCAGGAGAACTAATTCCGATCTCAGACTTTGATGGGATTTTCTGGCATACATTTTTTATCCAACTGTATCAAAGAGTAATCAAAAAAACGTGCCCTGGGTTATCCTTAGATATGCATGAACCAAGGCATGAAAAAGTAGAATGAGGCAGATGGGAAAATTATGCCCATAAGAGCCTAGATAGATCCTTTGATAAACCAAGAACTGTCCAGAATTTCTGGGAAATTCTGCCATGCACCAGTGCAATAAGCTAGCACAAACTGTGGGTACCTTTACTATGAGGAGAAGCATATGCTAAAAAACCACACTGCCTGGCAATTGCATGCTCCTCTAGGGTGGTATCTGTGAAGTTCTGAGGTTTTCACTGCAGAAGCAGAAATTGGACACTGCTTGGGATCGCCTATTGTCAGGATATAATTTCATGTTTAAGGCAGCATTCTTTAGCCTTAGCATGGGTTAGGAAGGAATGAATTATGTGCGGAATGTGGTGGTAGTCTGGTGGTTACATGTTCATACCCTTCTCTGCTATACATGTGGTAAAAAACTACACAAAAGAAGTTAGAAAATGATCTCATAGACTCTTCTAGCCATACTAATAACTACAAAGGTGGAAGAAAGCATAGAAACAGTAAAAATACCCAGGATGCAATGGTAGCTGGGCTGGGTTTTATCAGCCATATACCTGATGACTAAGAAATGGTTTTCTTTTGTCTAGTTTATATTTGTCTGTCCTTTAAGATGGATGCTTTTAAAAAGGCAGCACAGAACATGGTTAGAGAGAGACAAAACAATTAGAGGACCCTTTTAAAAATGAAGAATCAGATTCTGTAAAAGATTAGTGAGGATATGTGCAGTTAAAGGAAATTCCTGAGTATCATGAAGCTAATGAAGAGGGTAGTTGATTAAGAATTGCATTGCAGGTATGTGCCTGACCTTTGAGCAGGTACATCATCCAGGAGGGATGCCCCAAAGTGGGAAGGGCAGGTGGAGGTACCAGTTCCTCCCTTTGGCTGGCTTGGGCACCTGAATACCAGCTAAAAATGCCCCTGAGCTACAGAAGTACAGCCCCCCTAGAGTCACTCACCTCAGTAGGAATGCAAGACTTGTGCCCACAGTTTGAAAAGGAAATGGGATTTCAGGACACAGAAGTAACTCAAAAAACACTACATAGATTTAGAATCACAGAATTGCAGAATCGTAGAATGGTTTGGGTTGGAAGAGACTTTAAAGATCATCTCGTTCCAGCCTGCCCTGCTATGGGCAGGGAGACCTTCCACTACACCAGGTCCCATCAAGCCTGGCCTCGAACACTCCCAGGGATTGGGCATTCACAGCTTTTCTGGGCAACCTGTTCCAGTGCCTCACTACCCTCACATAAAGAATTTCTTCCGCATATCCAACCTAAACCTGCCCTCTTTCAGTTTAAAGCTTGCTATGGGTAGGGACACCTTTCACTAGACCAGGTTGTTCAGAGCCCCATCCATTTACCTAAGCTAGACCGCGCACGGCTTCGTCGATATAGTTTAATTGAAAATCCCTCTGCCACCGTAGGAGAGGCGATACGAGCAACTTGTGGACGGAGGAGGAGGGCGGTACGGGAAGCCCGTCCGCAGGAACCGCTCCCGGCGCCGCCACCACCACACCACCTCAGCGCCGGGCGGAGCGGCGCCGCAGCCCTGGACAGGACTCCGCGATTCCAGAAGGAATCGCCAGGCCGGCGAGCTGGAGAAGCCGCAGGCAGCCCTGCCGGTAGGGATAAACAACCCTCTGTTCCCTCCTCCGCTTCCTGCCGTTCCCGCGGGCGCAGCCGCGGGATCGGGGCAGGGGATCGGGGCAGTTCCCGCCGCGGCTCCGCAGGGGGCGTTCCAGCGCCGCGCCCGCCGCGGCAGCCGCGCATGCGCAGCGCGGTGGGGTGGGGGCTGCCCCGCCGGTCTCCCTGGAGCCGCCGCCGTTGTGGGCGCAGGTCCCGGATGTAGCGGCAGGAGAGGGGCTGCGGTGGGAGCGGGCCGGGGCTGCCGCCGGGGCCTGGGAATGGGCGCGTAGGGAGGCGGGGAGGAAGGAAGGAAGGAAGGAAGGAAACGAGCGGGGAGAAGAGCCGGACGGAGACTCCCGCCCGGCGCCCGAGGCAGCCGCCCCCATCGGGGTCCCCCTCCGCCGCCTGCGGGCTGCGCGCCCTCTCCGCCCGCCCCGGGGCGCCGCCGCCGGGATGAGCAGCTCGCGGAACAACCGGGTGATGGAAGGGGTCGGGGCCCGGGTGGTGCGGGGCCCGGACTGGAAGTGGGGGAAGCAGGATGGCGGCGAGGGCCATGTGGGCACCGTGCGCAGCTTCGAGAGCCCCGAGGAGGTGGTCGTGGTGTGGGACAACGGCACCGCCGCCAACTACCGCTGCTCCGGGGCCTACGACCTGCGCATCCTCGACAGCGCGCCCACCGGTGAGCGGGGAGGGAGGGAGGGCGGGCAGGGACCCCCCGGCCGCGGCAGGTCCGGGGGCAGCGCCCCGGGGTGCTTTTGGGGGGTGCTGGGGGTCCCTTCCCGGGGGCGGATGGCGCCCCTTCTTTCCCCTTTCCCGAGGTTTTGGGTGGAGAGCGGGAGTCATCCACCCTCCCCTTCCCTTCGCGTGGGTGTCCGTGTGTGTGTACACGCGAACTTGGGACAGATCGGTAGCGTAGGGCCAAGGGGAGAGGAGGAGTTGTCCTGGGACTGCTAAATTGGAGTAGACAAAGCAGAAGTGATCTGGCACAAACGGCGGGCTCCCGGTGTTCTTGGGGGGGCGGTGGAGAGAGGCAACAGAGAGGGGGATTCATCAAGGTTTGGGTTTGTTTTCACAACCCCACCCTTCCCTTCTTGAATTTATGTTTTAGAGTGCTTTTGTGAAAGGGTGGCAGTCATTCTTGAGTCCAGTATAAGGGGGGGATTGCAGAAGAGAAGTGTAGCACCTTTTTGCTACAGATCACATTAAGTGGTTGAAACACGGTTTTGTCTTGTAGTCTGCACGTTGCCTTTTATCTGTATTGCCAGACCTGCCGTAAAATAGCGAAGGTACTGGGGGGGAGGAAAAAGCACATTCGTTCATTCTTTTAACTATTTGGCTGCTTGATATGTATGCTTTAAATCCAGTCATTTTGGACAATGGATTTAGATCTGCACTGATACTATGCGGCAGTGTTAGTGTTGCAAGCACTGCAGGGAAATGTTCATTTTAGCACCTCTTTTTACGGTGAAAACTCACAAAGAAAAATATTTATATTGTTAAGTTTCATCAGAAATATAACAAGGCGATTTGCGAGCTAGACAGGATTGCCTCAATGATGAAGTGATTGGACTGATTTATTGAGGTACTTGGTTGTACTGCTTTTCTAATATGTCTTTCATTTAGAACACCATGAAGAGACCATCTTTGTGCCAGCCATGTGTACTATTACAGAAAGGAAAATTATAGCAGTGGGTCGAAGCTAAAGGAGACAGAATCATGGAATTCACCCTAATTGATTACAAAAAGTATTGCTAGGAAAAAAACCCCTACATATTGCATGGCGAACCTTTGAGATGGTTTTAATTTTTCTGTGGCTGGGCACCTTCCTCTCTCCTGGATTGTTTAAGACAAGAAGTTAAGAGTAGTCTTTCCAGTTGTCAGCCCTTGTCTTGCAGACATTTATGCTTTGAAACTTTACTTGCATTTGATGTCCTGCAGAAACCAGCAGGACTGCTTCTGCTTAGTACTGAAGTGTATGCATAGATGTTGAATATGAGCCTGGAATGCTCATTGTTCTGGCTCTGCTGGATGTATTTGCAAGCAGACGGTATCCGGTTAACTGCATCTGGAAGCCTAGACTCAATACTCAGTTTTAACTGTTCTAACCCTGCTTTTGTTTGGTGGATTTTATTGTTTGTTTGGTGTTTTTTTTTGTTTTGTTTTGTTTTTTTTCAGTCTTTCTAATTTTCATTTCTGTTTATACTTTTGTATTAGAATTTTCACTTCTGTTTCAGGTAGGACTGTGTACATTGCTGTGTGGAAAACTCATAAACACTGCTGTTGTCAGGCTTAGAAAAATGGTATTTCTCTTCCTGAGGTTTCTGGCCAACACGTGCATAATCCTTATGGAACTGTTGCATGGCACTACCCAGGGTTGCTTTTTGCTAGAGGGAGTTACTTTTGAGGTCA